TATGAGATATATTTACAATCTCTTGAAATCTCACCACTAACTGTAATTTTTTTCCTTTATAGTTTTAAAACCATTTTATAAAAATTTTAAAAAATTAGGCTAAATGACACTTTTGATCTTCCTATAATATCAAATTAGTAATTTTAGTTCCTTTATTTTTAATTTCACAATTTTAATCCTCTAATATTTTAAAAATGCGATAAAAATAAAAATAAAAATACAAATTAATCTAAATACTATTAAATATTAATCAAGGTGTTATTTATAATATATCATAATCAATGTTACAATTTTAACAATCAAGTGATGAATAAGGAAGGATTAAAATTGATAATTTTATAAAATTAAGGGAATAAAATTACATAATCATAAATAAAAAAAATTAAAATTAGTAGAGAAATCAAAAGTAAAACTGCTTAAAAAAATTAAGAAACCAACAATTGAAAAAATTCCTTATCTGAAGCATTACCACAGAAGATGGAAGACCTATTCAAGACCCGATTTGATTCAGGAAGTCACTCACCTTTCGTTAGCAAAAATTCTAATGGTACCAGAGGCTCAAATCAATATTCTTGTGGGACATGACTTGCAAGAATTGATTTTCCGAGGTTCAATGGTGAAAACATCAATAAATGGATGTACCAATGCGAAAATTATTTCTTGATTGATGCCACACCTGAGGATGTAAAGGTCCGGTTAGCAATTGTTCACCTTGAAGGCAAGGCTTTACAGTGGCACACAGTAATTTCCAAGAATTTGGAAAATCAACAACCGTCTTGGGAGGAGTATACGAAGATCTTGCAGGACCGATTTGGAGATGTCTGTGATGATCCCATGGCAGAACTTATGAAGTTAAGACAAGAGAAAGGGGTCAACGAATATCATGAGGCCTTCGATGCAATAATTTCCAGATTAGACTTAACAGAGGAGTACCGGCTAAGTTGCTTTTTGGGAGGACTCAAACACGAAATCCAAATGATGGTATGCATGTTTAGACCTAACAGTGTTCGGAGAGCATTCTCATTGGCAAAGATGTATGAGGCTTCCCAACCCTAGGGACCGGTGGCAATTGCCTCAAAACCCTTCTATTTGAATTCAAGAAACAACAAGAACGTTATGAATTCAAGACCATTGCTGCCCACACCAACAGACCAAGTCAAGTATAATCAGCCAGAATTCACCTCGAATAAAGCAAAGCCTTACAGAAATCTGACTCCAACCTACATGGCTGATAGGAGATCAAAAGGACTGTGTTACTTCTGTGATGAACCATACTCACAAGCGCATAGCCTTACACACAAGAAGCTACAACTACATGTTATTGAAGTGGAAGAAGCATCAAATGACCCACCATTCGAAGAAGAACTGCCTGCTTCAGACTCAGCTGACATGGGTGGACCATAAATTTTGGTACATGCCTTGACAGGCATCCCCAACTTCAAAACTATGCGAATTACTGGTTACTACAACAAGAAACCCTTGCATATTCTTATAGACAATGGCAGTACACACAACTTCCTGGACGTCCACATTGCCAAGAAATTATGTTGTCGAATAGACAATTTGGAGCCTATGCATGTTACGGTAGCAGACGACAACAAGTTAAATATAGAAGCGGTGGTCAAAGATTTTAAATGGACAATACAACAAACAATGTTTACATCGGACATGATGTTATTATCGCTGGGATGCTGTGATTTAGTCTTGGGAATTGAATGGCTTATAACCTTGGGTAACATTACATGGAACTTTGATAAATTAAGTATGCAGTTTTATGCACAAGGCAGAAAACATGTTTTACGAAGTGCTCAGCTACAAGGAATGAAGACCGTGAGAAGAAAATAGTTCAGAAGAATTCTTAAGGAAGGAGTACATATTTCAATGATACAATTATGCAACCAAGAAGGTGCTTTGTTAAACACTCTAACAACACATGACCAGCTACCTGTGCCTACCCCAAGGATACAATACATCCTTACGGAATTTGAAGATGTCTTCCAAGAACCAACGCAATTGCCACTTGTCAGATCAGACCATGATCATAAAATTCCCCTCATTCAGGGCAGCAACCCTATAAACAAAAGACCCTACAGGTATGTGAAACAGCAGAAGGATGTCATAGACAAGCTGGTCAAGGAATACTTGAATACATGCATCATTCAAGCTAGCAATAGCCCTTATGCTAGTCCCGTAGTTCTAGTAGGGAAAAAGGATGGAAGCTGGAGACTTTGTTTTGATTATAGGGAACTCAATAAAGCTACTGTTAAGGATAAATTCCCAAATCCCCTTGTGGAAGACCTCTTGGATGAATTGCATGGATCCACCATCTACTAAAAAATATACCTACTATCATGGTAGAACCATGTCATAATTCACCCTATGGACGTCCACAAGACTGCATTTAAAACTCATGGGGGGCTCTATGAGTATCTGGTGATGCCATTCGGCCTAACCAATGCTCCAGCAACCTTTCAAGGCCTTATGAATTCTGTGTTTCAAGAGTACCTGAGACAATTTCTCCTAGTTTTCTTTGATGATATATTGATATACAACAAGAGCATTGAAGATCATATGCAGCACTTACAACTGGTACTCCAAACTATGAGACATAATAACTTGTTTGCAAGGAAGAGTAAGTGTTATTTTGCTGTCACCAAGGTAGAGTACTTAGGTCATTTTATCAGTGTAGAAGGCGTGTCAACTGATCCTTCAAAAATAGAGGCTGTTAAAAATTGGCCACTTCCGGCAACTCTCAAACAACTTCGAGGGTTCCTTGGTCTAGCAGGCTACTACAGAAGATTTGTAAGAGGTTATGGTGGCATTGTAAAGCCACTCACTGAACTATTGAAAAAAGACAACTTCACTTGGACAGTGGAAGCCAAGCAAGCATTTCAAAAATTAAAATCCTTGTTAATTCAGGCTCCTGTATTAGCATTACCCGATTTCAACATGCAATTTGTCTTGGAAGTGGATGCTTGTGGGTACGGAATAGGACCAGTCTTAATGCAGGTGCACCACCCAATTGCATTCATCAACAGGGCCCTCAGTTCACAGCAACAGGCATTATCTACATATGAGAAAGAACTACTTGCAGTGGTGTTTGCTATCCAAAAGTGCAGACACTACTTGCTAAACAAGAAATTTATCATTAAAACTAACCACCGAAGCTTAAAATACATACTAGATCAAAGATTAACAACATCATTCCAGTAGAAGTGGTTGATTAAATTGATGGAATTCGATTTCATCATCGAATATAAAGAGGGTAAGACAAATATAGCAGGAGATGCTTTATCCAGGAAGGAAGATCCTACATGTTGTTCAGTCAATATTCATACTGTGAGTACTGACCTTCTGGATAAAATTTAGGCTTCATGGAGAATAGACCTATCATTGCAAAAAATCATAAACAGCGTGAAAACCAACCCTGATTCTCACAAACACTACACTTGGCGAAACGAAGAATTACGAAGAAAAGGTATACTAGTGATAGGCAATAATGGTGATCTCCGGACTCAAATATTAAATTGGTTGCACTCTTCTTCCATAGCAGGCCACTCTGGTAGAAATGCCACAATTTAGAGAGCTAAGTCAATCATTTACTGGAAAGGACTAACCAGAGATATCACAGAATACATTAGAAAGTGTATAACCTGCCAGAGGTGCAAATATGAGACTACAGCCTCTCCAGGTCTCCTTCAGCCATTACTTATCCCTAATCACATATGGCAACATATCAATATGGACTTCATAGAAGGACTACCTAGTTCCACAGGGAAGCAAGTCATTTTTGTGGTTGTTAATAGATTAAGTAAGGCTGCCCATTTCGTTGGATTATCCCATCCTTACCAAGCATCTGATGTAGCACAGACTTTCTTGGATAATATATTTAAACTCCATGGGTTCCCTGAAACAATTACCAGTGATAGAGATCCGACCTTCATTAGTAACTTTTGGCAAGAATTCATGCAATTACAACGAGTGGAAACGCGTTTGTCTTCATCATACCATCCACAAACGGACGGGCAGAGTGAGGTAGTTAATCGGTGCTTGGAGACGTATTTAAGGTGTATGTGTTCAGACACACCAACATAGTGGTCTCATTGGCTTCCATTAGCTGAATGGTGGTATAACACCACATATCATTCCTCCATAAAGGCAACACCTTATGAGGTGGTCTTGGGCAACCACCGCTAACATTTCTCCCATACCTACCGGGTGAATCCAAAAATGTCATGATCGACAGAAGTTTGTCTAAGAGAGAGGAGATGCTAAAGGTGTTTAAGTTTCATTTACGAAGAGCACAAGATCGAATGAAGTAAGTAGCAGACAGGCATAGAACAAATAGACAACTCCAAATGGGTGATATGGTATTTGTCAAACTTCATCCTTACAGACAAGTGTGTGTGGCAACTAGAAGCAATGCAAAAGTCGCTCCGAAATACTTTGGTCCTTACAAAATAATTGACAAAATTGGACAGGTCGCTTATAAGGTAGAACTTCCAACTTCTGCTAGGATACACAATGTCTTCCACGTTTCACAACTGAAAAAGTATATGGGGGACACACCAACGTCGACAGATCTACCAGTGGAACCAGAAGCAATTCCATTGACACGTGAACCTGAAGACATTCTGGATCGCATAACTGTCAAAAGGCACGGGCGCGCAGTGAGTAAAGTATTAGTGAAATGGAAGAACCAGGTGTCGGAAGATGCCACATGGGAGTATTACTATGACCTAAAGCAGAAATATCCCGAGTTCAACCCTTGAGGACAAGGATTGTTTAAAGGGGAGGGTAATGATATGATGTAAACAGAATCAAGTTCTTATTAGTAATTTTTAATATACTTTATCTACAAAATTAGAGATAAGATAGAGTAGTTAGTAATTTTAAATATATTAGAGATAAAATAGAGTAGTGGGGAGGATTGATTATAATCAATTGGCTATATAATGCATTTTAATCCTGCCTTAGGGGTAAAGTAATTCATTCACAAATTGATATTCTCATCTTTCTTCTTCAAATATAACATTCGGATTCTTTTCTTCACATAGAATCCCTATTTTCTATTATTGCTTCGAATTCTTATTGAATTCATAGTTCTGGTAATAACAGGTTCCACCTTCTCAGCGCATTTTCCCCGTGTCAGAATCTTCATTAGGGTTTGTGAAAGAATCATGTCGCTGGAGACACCATGTCGTGATTCAAGCTCTGTCGTCACGAGGCCCGCTCATGGAGAAGGACTTGCACTCCATGTTTGAAGAACTCACCAAGAGAAACCCAGGTTTTTGTTTTCTCTGAATTTGTTATTCCCTTTTTATTTTTATTTTCTTTTATTGTGTTTTAACGACTGTAATTAGGGCTTTTGGAAAACAACAGATTGAAGCAATAGTACAAGATGCCTCTGCAAACGGTGTTAGCTCCAGCATTCGTGCTCTCAATCTTAGTTTGGATGGTCAGGTTTTAATATTTCACCTACCTTCACTTTTATACTCATCAAAAATTGAATCTTGTTTTAATATGCTGGTATCGAGTGCGTGAGAAGTACTATAAAAAAATATCAAAGTGAAATTTTAAAATTTATGAATAAGTTAGATCAGTGAGAATATTTTAGTTTTTGACAGATGGTCAGGGCTAAATAGCCAAGATTAGTAGTAAGTATATAATTATTTGTGGATGCAATCAATTTGTAAACTGCAACTTGTGTTATGACATGATCACCATCTTTTTTCTTTTGAACTTTCCCAACTCTCATTTGCTATAATTGAATTCCATAACCTCCACCTTGCTCATTCTAAATCAATGACAATGACAGAATACAAATTTGGAACAGATGGAAATAGGATTAAATCACAATAAAATTATGGAAAGTTCAACAATTTCTTGCTGTCCCGGATTTCAGAAACTCCTACAGATTATCTTTATCTAGAAAAACTATTAAACACATGAAATAATTGTCCCCTGATTATAACACTACCTCACCAATACAAACGAGAATACATAATATTTCCTCACAGAAATTAAACCTGCTGTTATTATTTAAATTAGTTCCTAACATGGCAGTTATTGAAATGCAGTAATTATTAAAACTAAGTCCTATATTTCCTAGGGTAGAATTTGATTATAAAGCCTCACTTCAGTGCTTAAGTTTAGAATTTACTCATTCTTGCAACAATAAGGTTTATGCCATTTGGAAAATGCATGCATTGAGGCACTATTCTCTTTCTTGTTCCTTGTTCTGAAGTCCAATAAAACGGTAGACAGGTATAGACTCAAACTTGAACTTTGGTGCAAACCTATTGTTATAAAAAGCTTATGTTCAACTTCATGAATTTGCATGCATATATATTTTAAAGTTTGAATTCATGCAATACAAACTCCATTATTATGAAGAGCCTTCCTCCGAACTTGTTGTTTTGGTCGCATATTTTAGGCCTTTTTCTAAGAATCTAAATCATCGAAGACCATTTGCATTACAGTTCTTATGGATTACATTTTAAATTTCCATCAAAACCTATAGTAGATACATCATCTCTGTGATGTAAAACCAAATAGATTCTGTGATGCAAGTCTTTTATCTTAATATATAATCATTAATTTCTTACAATTTCATTGTTTGACTCAAGCTAAGTTATACCTTCTCACCTAAACACATCCAAAATTCAATATGCATGTCGTTTGATCCAACTAGTTTACCATTTTTCATCATCTTTAGCGCTTATTTTACCTGTTTGTATAGTTTTGTTGCAATGAAATTTATAAGCTTGGTCATTTTTTCTAGTGGTTAAACTCTCTAATGACTGTTGTTTCTGTTTTTTTTTATTTTTTATTCTTTTTTTGTTAGAGTATTGAAAACACTAGTCATATTTTTCTAGTGTATTATATGATTTGCAGTCCACCCTCCCCCAAACCACCACTACCACCACAAAAAAGTAAAAAAAAGAAAAATAACAACTGTCTATATCTATATACACAGTTGGAGAATAAGGTACACATTTTGGATTGCAGGTTGATTGTTGTTTGGTACCAAATGATATACACATGAAGAACATGACAATTTGATCTACTCGTAGAAAGATTTTACCCTTTCCATTGTGATGGGAATGTTTCAGGATATTTTTTGAGATAAATGATACTGGTCACAAAATTAAAATATATTTATTCCTTAATGTATTGTAAATGTAGACTAAAATGCTCAAATTTCATGTTCTATGTTCAGGTTGCAGTTGCGTCAGATCCACAATCTCAAGGAGGCCAGCCAAATGTCCCATCATCATTGAAGAATTTCAGTTTGTCTCAAAAGGAAAAACCCTGCAAGAACTAGTGCGGGACCAGTGGCTTAACTTAACAACAGATGGTATTATTAAACTTGGTTTGAACTTTGAAGTCATTCCTTGATCTTCGTAGTTGGTTCTGGAACAATGATGTTACATCCTGTCATGTATGCAATGAAGGTTGTTCTTGTTCCTGTTGCACTGTGATAGTATTCCCTTTTTTTTTTTTTTTTATTAAATTTTTTTAACATCAATGGTTGTGAACTTGTGATTATTTTGAATCAGCATTGGGCTTTTGTTTTACGATTTCTATGGGATTTAAATGTTTGGTAATATACCATGCAAGTTTCATGAAATTTTTTGAATAAAGTTATGTATTGATCAAGGTTATTGATGGCGGATAACGGTCTATGGCGGTAAGGCCAGAAATCCGGTCTATGGCGGTAAGGCCAGAAATCCTTTATAACTTTATGGCAGATGCCATGACGGCCTATGGCAGACGTCATGACGGACAAAAAAATAATAATAATAATATTTATATATATATATTATATAAAAAAAAAAACAGCAAAACAATAAATAACAAGCAACAAAACTAAATTAAAACCAACATAATATCAACTTAAATACTTAAATATCATAACAACAATACCATAATTCATTGTCTCATAACATAATTGATTAAAACACAACAAAAAACATAGAAAAACAAGAGACTCAATTTAGAATTTAGAATAAAATAGAAATTTAAATTGACCCAATTGGTAGAAGAATTAGGATTAAAAAATTGTTACTGCAGATGCAACAATGAATTCATTAGCAAAAGACTCAAAGGAGTAGGAAAAATTAAAAAGAGGATTAAAATTTAAAACTGAAAAAAAAAAAGGTTTTAAACTGAAAAAATAAAAAGAGGAGGAGGATTAAAACTGAAAAAATAAAAGTAGGAACATTAAAACTGGAAAGAAAAAAAGTAAGATTAAAATTGAGAAAAAAAAAACCTAGTTTCGCCGGAGTTGCTCGCCGGAGTACTGGGCCACCACGGTTCAGGTCGCCAGCCAGAAAGGGGACGAAGGGGTGGTGAACGGAGGTGATTAGGGGCAGTTTCGACTTCCGTAAGTGCTGTTCGCACTTCGTGGTTGCTGGTCGGAGTGTTGGGCTGCCGCAGTCGCCGCGGTTCAGGCGGCCGGAGTACTGCGTAAGTGCCGCGTTTCAGGGAACGAAGGTCACTGGAGATGCTTAGGGCATGAGCTCCTCTTGAGGTGCAAAGAGTCGTGACTGTGAGGGAGAAGAGAGATGAGATGCAGAGACAAGCACTAACCTAGGGCTCACTCCATTTGGGCCTGTTTCAAAGCCTAAAAATAGGGTTTTTTTAAAAAAAAAACTGTCATGACCGCCATGCCCGTTATAAACTTTCACGGCGCCATGACCATGGTGGCCGCCATATCGGAAATGGCGGAAACTGCCATAAAACTTCATATTACGGATGGCGAATGGCAGTTTCAGCTCAAACCGTTCTGTTTTTCCGTTATAACCGATTTTTGACAACCTTGGTATTGATCAGATTTGAAGACCATTAATAGCCTGTTATGTTTGGTGTTTTATGAATACAATGTGTTAATTCAGAAGCAAGAAAAACTATCTTCTACGTGTTTTCTAAATATTTGATGCGGAAATTTTATTATATGCACATCTGAGACTTAAACAAACACACTAACAAATTGAGTGTTTTTTGTTAAATTACATATACACCAACAATTCAATTTTCTCCATATTTTATGATGTAATATAATTCCTTTTGTCTAATTTCCTTGCTTGTGGAGGCATTGAGAACCCAAGACAAAAAAATAATCACTAGATTTTGTTAATATTAGAAGGAACAGAAGTGGAAAAATTGAAATATGCAGATAGCATCAGTTGTACTTATAAGTTATAACACATTGCTGCTGTGTTTGAATCTAATAATTCATTACTCAATGTCTGACAGGCAGAGTTATGCCAAAATGAAAACTGTACTGTACGGATTCATCAGTACTGCCTGAAGCAACTTTTCTTGCAGAGAAAGGTATTAGTCTTGTTTCATTTTTATGATGTTAGAAATATGGAGTTTCTGACAATGTTACTACTACCAACTGGCATTTAGGTTGCAAAAGTTTGCCCAACTTGTGGCTGGCACTGGATGGCCATATACGGTACCCAAGGCAGAGGCCGTGCAGACTGAAGATGACAATGAACCTAGAGGAAGCCAACAAGTGACTAGTTCTGAACGAAAGAGGCATAGAGCCAATAGAATAGGGTTGTTGATGATGTTGGATGCAGCAATCAGGATGAGCTGAATGATGGTAGAGAAAGCCAGCATGGTAATGAATTGGTACGGAAAAGGGGCAGAGCACGCAGAACTGAGGATGCAGATATAGGAGGTTCTGGTGCATTTCAATCTTTGGCAGCTATTTCTGGTTCGAGAAGAGTAACTAGAAACTCTGCTCGTCTGATGTAAATCAACAACGGTGCCCTTCTTTTACTGCTGCTAGGTATATTTTGCTGCTGACTGTTGTAATTTATGCTGAACTTTTGTGGATATGTGAATGGGTTCTTTAGTAATGCAGTTAGCTAGTTTTAGTGACTATTTTTAATCAGCAATCTTATTATGTTAGGTTGACCTGTGGCTTGAAACGCCAACCTTCTAGTACAGAATACCTACATGTAAATTTGTGTTAGTGCCAAAGTATCATATTAGAGTCATGTTGAGGTAGTGGCATTATTATTTTGCTCAGCTTTGATATTTAATTGTTTTTTTATAACCGTGTTTCGATATTTAATTGTTTAGTGTTGTGCTTCTTTAATCATGACATTATTTTTATTATAAACTGGCTCATGATACTATCTGTTTAGCTTTTTACCAAACTAGACACTAGACAGCTATAAGATGTCTAATTTCAGTCATTTGTTATTAAGATTTTTACATGTTGAATTAGTTTACTTTAAAATGTCAATGCTTATACGAAAAAGTTAATAAAGCAAAGTAAAATCTAAATTCATTCCAGAGAAATTTGGCAGCATGGTGAATTTGAGCGTTTATCCTTTATTAAATAAAAGTCAAACTCGAGTAGTGAACAAGTTCATGGATCATGAAATAGTTATATTTTGTATATGAAAAATGCTCCATCGTCCGAAAGAAGTCTCCAAAATTTCTTTCGAATTATTAAAAAATTGATTTAAATAATAAAAATATTAAATTAAATAATTATTTTATAATAAATTTATTAAAAGATATTAATACTTTAATAATACGGACGTTGATTCGGAATATGTTTTGACTTGTATGACAGTGTTCTTTATCTATTGACAAAAAATAATTGAGATGTTATTTTAGTCTATAAATATGGTTTGTGCAATGTTTGCATATAATCAAAGATTCATCTTTATTTTCATAAGATGTGATTTTTGTTGATCAAATATTATTTTAAGAAGACTAATTAAAATAATTGTTCTACTTAGGTTGTATTTGGCACGAAGGAAAGAAACAGTGAGTAATAAAGTGGATAGTAATAGAAAAAATATACGTGAATAGAAGTGTGAAATATAAAGTAAAAATAGAAGTGTTTGGTTTAAAAGAAATAGAAATGAGAAATAAAATTTATTTTTAAAATTAAATTTTAATATAATTTTTATTATAATCAACTAAATTAAAATTTTAATCGTTTTAAAAGTTTTTTTTAATTATAATGATTATATGTTATTAATGTAAAGTAATTTACACTTAGACATGATAATTAAATTTTTATCCATAACCTGAACTCGATTTTGACGGAAAAAACTTCTTTAAATGATTATGATTTTTTTCGACTTGAAAAATTGGGTCCCGATGCATATTCGAATATATAACTCCATGTCTTGTCCTTATATTTGTCTCATTATATTAATTAAATTTATATTTATAATTTATTTGAAACCTATCATTAACATTATTTTTAAGATAATTATTATAAAAAGTAATAAATTTATCATAAAGGTGATTTGTAATTAGATAATAGTTTATAATTAGTAATTAGATAATAGTTTACACTATTAATACATAGCATTTTTTTTATTTAATCGATTAAATATTTGATCAATTAATTAAATCAAAAGAATTAAATGAAATCAAGTATTTCTTTAGTTTTAAAATACTTACGATTCTAATATTTGAAAAAAAAATCTAAAATAACAATATTTTTAGTTTTTATTGTAATATTGAATTTTTTTCTTCTAATCTGGCCCTATTTAAATTATATCAATGCTAATGTATTTTCACATAAATTAATTTTTATTCTTAATATATGTGTAGACACATTAACTTACTATCATTTTAAAGACAAAGAATAAGAGTAGAAAATTTAACAGATTATATTATAATCCATTAAATTCTTCGCAACAAACAATTTAATCGACTCGAATTTTGGTGTGATAGAAATAATGAGCAAATCACCAACAAATCAATGTTGATGGTTTTCTTCTATGTTATTTGTTTGACATGATATTTCATAAGAGTAATTTTTATAAAATTATTTTACATACAATTTTATAACGATGAAATATTATTCGCTTTAAATTAAAGTCTTCATGATTTTACTTTTAATCATACCTAAGCAATTCCAAAAATCCTAGTCTATTTTCAACTTCAAGCTTATAAAGGAAACAAAGGAAAGATAAATTATTAAAAAATGCAAACACTACACAGCTAAACAAATACTCAACGACAAACAATTTGTGGCCCACCTTTAATTGGCTCATCATGCAAGGCCTATATTGACCTGTGTAAATTTCCCAATAACAAAATTGAAATCCGGTTAAAAATTAAGTGTTTCAAATGTAAAAAGGTGAATGTTAGATTTCAATATATAGTATATTCTACTTATGAAAAAGACAAATGTTATATACTTCAAACCAATTTCAAACGGTATTGTGCAAAAAGGTGATATGGAAAATTCACGAATGGGAGCAAAAACTTTAGGTTTCTTCACTTAGCGGTCGTCAAATGTAATGTTATGTGATTTTTTAATCGATTAACATTTTGCCTGCAAATGATGAACAACTTAATAATATGGTATGAAGCACTTCTTAATATGGGTCGATCATGATCTTAGGCCCTTGAGTCCAATTGTTCTTATTAGCCTTAGATCTTTTATTTGGAAATTAATAGATACACCTCTATACTTCTTTATACATGATTATTGATCGAAGCCGTATCCGGTCAAATAAAACAATTAAATGCAGTACTAAGAAGTTGTCCTAGGTCGTTTCCCAAGGACCATTTTTCTCTGTCAATGGCTTAAACACACAGTGGGGAGGGGGGTTGGTTCAGGCTTTTCAGTTTATAACACAATAAAACGCAGATAACACAACAAGTAAAATAGATTGGCTCCTTGTTCGGATTGTAACTCTCTTATCATTGGTTCACAATGAGATTACTCTGTCAACCACTTAATCCTTGTTCCATCCGAGTTAACCAACTAAGCGAAGATTAACTCAAGATTTTCCTACACGAATTAAGCAAACGTATACAACATCAACCTCTTCACAGATTAAGCAACTGTGGCATTGAGGACAGCCCATTAAGCATATGGGCACATTGATACAGAGGTTAAATGAAAAATGACCAAGTAGAACAGAGATATACAAACATACCCAACCTTAAACAGAGATTACAATCCATAACAAGAAGCCAACCCCATGGATTTTAGCCTTCCATTAAAACAAAAGCAGATACAGAAACGAAAATGCAAGGAGAGGAGAGGAGAGCAAAACGAAAATGGATAATCTGTATTCTTCAATGCAAGGGTTCAAATACAAAACGTAAAATGCATACAAGAGAGAAAAACGTAAAAAACAAAGAGAACCCAGGAAGGTAACGTGGTCACATCATATGTCCCTCTTAGTGGCTGCTCTAGAACCCTAAAAAAAACCCTAGTAAAGTCAAAATGGGCCCCCAAGTCAGGTTTGACCCGAAAATACATAAAATAAATAAAAAAATAAAATAAAACAAAATGCTGATGTGGCGTTGACGTGGCAGATGACGTGGCAGCTCCTCTTGAAGTCCAAAAATTAATTCCAAGCCCAGATAATTATTAAACTGCCTTGAAAATAAAAATTAGAATAATTAGATTCAGAAAATTCAAATTAGTTAAAATATGAATTACTGGTCCAATTAAAGCCCAAATAGAAAACAATGCAGAATATCAACAATTAAGCACAAATAAGAGATTAAAATAAGTACAGAAAGGTAAGAAAATAAGGGAAAATAATGACTCATCAATTATGTTCTAATAATTTTTTGTATTTTGCTGCACCTTTGTTATGTGCTTTTAACTTTTTTTTTTGAAAGGTTGATTTCATTTTTGCTTAGGAATCTTGGATGCTTTGATTATTAGGTATTGACTTTTGCATCATAATGTAAATACGGATAGCATTAAAGTTTCTTACTTGTGGTTTCTTACTAGGAGAATAAAATCTTTTTTTAGAATAATCAACTTAATTTTGTATAGTTCAAAATGAAACCTATAAAATAAAACTTTTAATTACTCTTCTAACATTTTGTATAACACTATGAGTTGTGGAAATGTTATAATTATTTTTAAATCATTTTTGTTTTGGTAAGGTGAGTTGTTATTTAGTATTGAGAGACTCTGAGACTTGAGGATCCCTTAAGAGTTTTAGTGATGCTCTAGACAAAGATCTAGTTTGACATTAGAAGAAAGAGTATATAAGGTTTTTATTTAGAATAAAGTCTCACAAAATCAAGTTTTCGAAATCCTAGAAAAAGGTGCTTTGATTCGTGAGGTTCCTTCAACTCCAAATCTTCTTCTTTTTCTTTCCTAATCCTTATTAGTCTTGTATTGTTGTTGGATTCAGGTCAGTATTTGTTGAGATCAGTTTGGTGAGTTGCAAAGTCAAGAGTTCTCTTCTTCTATGGTTAGCCTTGATTTTGAGGTAATGGAAGCTGAATTTATGAATTCTTTGTTGTATGTTGAATTTGTTGGATGATTGTGATGCTGAATGTTGTTTGGACCTCGAACTACTATGGTTAAGTTAATTGAAATGGTGAATATTTGTGTGAAGGTTGATGTTTGAGGTTCATGAGGAATAATGTAATGATTTTCTATGTATTATTGTTGCATGTAGGTTTTTGAATTGGATTTGAGTTGCTTGTGTTAAATAGAATCATTATTTTGTGTTGCATATGTGGTTATGGCTGAGTTTCAGGTGGATTTAGCAGAAATCATGATCTACATAAGTGCAGATTTCTTGTCGTGTCGGGTGCGCCTTTGTGGCACTAGGCATTATTTCAATACGAGACTATCAGACAACACAAAACTCAAGATTGGTAGCGTTGGGCCTGAGGAGAGAAACTCGTCTCGGATTGAGATGACATTGAGCATGATTCGAATGGCACCAAGCGTGTGAACCTTGAGTGGTCTTTAACTTGGTGACACTAGGCCCAAGGTTGAGTGGTGCCCAACATGGCCTAGTCAGACCTTTCTATATGGATGACACCAAGCACCAATATGGCGATGTAGAGCATGATTCAAGCATAGACTTTTTGCCTGAAATGAGGTCAGGCCTGAGACTTTTCAATGCCGGGTGCGAGGTCTTAGGGGCCTCTACCTAAACCATGTTAAGTGCAAGTTGTGTAGTGTCAAGCATGGGCAAGACAAATAGCTCCTTGCCTAGATAGTGTCGTGTGCTGGGTGTTTGGCGTCAGACACTAATGGCTAAAAGAAAATGTGTTGCTTGATTTGATGAATTGTTGCATATTGTTGATTGAGTTGTTAGTTGAAAGTA